GAACTAATCTCCAAGCACCTGGAGCGCCCAAAACTTCTAAACTTACTGTTTTGGCGCTTGTGCTGATAAGTGTAGATTAGTATCCTTATTCAGAATTCAGAATTAATCTGAGGACCAATTTTCCATTGAAGATGAGCAGATAGACGCTATAAAATAAAATTTGTTCCAGACATGGTTCTCCGGGAGCACATCCACGAGAATTTTTATCAACGGATTTCTTCCCACAACATTGGAGACCATTATCGAGTCATGGGAGCGAAGTTATTGAGCTTTAGCGTATAATATGGGAATAACACAGACAAGATACGCTTCAGCAACTAAAAAATTGTCTAGGATTTCTCACTGTGTTCAACATATGAAGGCTTATTTGTTAATAACTGTTGATGTATATATGGATATATAAATGTTAAGATCCAACGTGAATTACTCCGTTGAACCTTTCACAAATGTTTGTTCACAATGTAATCAACAAGTCCAAATAAGCAAATATTTTTATACAATTATCACATATTGCATACAACATTTGAGCATCCACATCTTGCTGCCAACTACAACCCTTATCTGATCTACTCGAAACAAAAAGTCTTTCACATCAATCAGAAAATCAATTATTCTCACAGAAGATCAACCTTTAAAATCGTCATATCTTACTAAAACTCACTGTAATTAGCAAAAATTTATATACAATAGCTGCATGACAGATTTGTATAGAAGTTAATTAGAATAATTTACAAGCAAATGCAATCGTAACTCTATTTTCACAAAGAGTACAGTGCAAATGTCTGTTTATATAAATTTAGCCACTATTCATTCCATTGCATTTTTATAGTAAACTGTACTCCTTGAATCTATTGCACCACGCGCCGTCTTTATACCCATACATTAAAGTGTTAGAAATGGTGGAAACCTAGCAAATGACAATTTATACAGTTATCGATTTTTCTTACTTTTATGAAGCTGCTTTTCCGAACGAGTTGAAATCCATGGTTAATTTGATTGTTGGCTGCTGGGTAAGATGCATAGTCTGGAAACAATTCTTTCAATATGTAACGAAAACTAACACTTGGGACCATGCACACAGTGCATCTAGTAGGGCACACAGAAATTGATTATTGACGAAAAATGCAGAAGCGCGCGCATTTACTGGTTATAGACTCTACAGTTTCTCCTCTCAAGTCTTCCCCAAGCAATATACCGCGCATCACAGCAGTAAACCACTGCTGCTTACTCAGTACACATTATCTAAGTGAATTTTCTCCTTGTTAAGGTAAAACAAAAATGCAGTTGCAAACCAAAGCACAAAAAACTAGAAAAAACCCCACTCCCTAAGAATCGCATTGTAAGCTGTATCGCATTTTATCCATTCATATTTCTTACTGATTACGAGTCAATCTGAACAAAAGTATTCCAGTAGCACTTTGAAAGCATGAAAGAAGAGCCGTTTCGGGATAAAAGAAAAATATTACAGAAGAAACAAAGTTGAAAACTGTCCCACCTTTGATTCCGCAGCAACAGCTTTGGCTTTTGCTACTTGTTGGGCTTGCATTTGACGATTAGATTGGAACAAAAGCGCATTTTCTAATCGTTTCTTCAAAGTAGGATGGCAGGCCAACACCTGAAATAGGAGTAAATTGGAAAAAAACTAAATATTGATAAAGAAAGTTATAAAAAAGGTAAGCCAGCTTCAGCCACTCACTTGCTTGAACTCAGTAGGCCATGTTGGCGCGACTGCATTCAACCGCTGCATGGCGAATTCATGAATTCTCCTTGCTGGTTGGTTCAGTAACCGCCATTCGTCGGCAGTTGTCGCACATAATAGTCGACAAAGAGATTGCGTCAAAAGAGATACAAGCGAGAATTCTGTAAAAAACAGGGCAAACAGTATATTGTCACTTTACAAAATGCAGCAACCACTTCTGTTTGATTACCCACTTCTTTTATCATCGGCTACTGTCACTAGCACTTCTAAAGCTTTCAGTGC